GCAAGAAAAACCCAGCCACGGACGCTGCAGAGGCAGGGACCACGGCACCACGCACGGACAGTAAAAACACCGTCCAACGTTTCAGCCAGACCGAGCAGAAACTTTTCAATGTGCAGAGCGCAGCAGTTCCTGCTCTCGGGGTTTTAAACGCGGCAGCGAGGCTGCACTAATAAGCCTGAGTGCTGAGCGAGCTCGGTGTACAGCGTTTCACTTACAAAGTGCTTGCTTCCGTTTCGTAAGATTCCTTAACGTCCACTTTTGTAGAAGAGTCATCTGGAAGGAAAATATTCGAGACGTGGAGTTTGAAAGGCAGAAATTCTCCCAGCCCGTGACCTACACGAACACAACTGATTTCCGAGCGGGCTTTCAGAGCCAGAAGGTGAGAGGCAGCGGGGCCGGGGCGAGCCGTGCTGCGTCAGGACTGGACACAGACTCAGCAGAGGGACCGAGCAGTGTTTTATTAAATGCCTCCATCCGTGTGAAACAGAGAAACAAAGAGTTTGGGGAACAAGGACGATGGCCCACAGCCCAGCTGGGGAAACATCTGCAGGCAGGAGACGGCCCTCGTGCTCTTCCAGCTCGCAGGCGATTAAAGCAGAGGAGGGTTTGGGGTTTTTTGGTTTTTTTTACCCAATACCCAGCAGGAGGGAAGCCACCAGGCTGGCTCTGACCTCGGAGGGTGATGGACGATGAAGACAGAAAGACCCTTGGAAGGGAGAGAACGGACTTACCGCTGTGTAGGGACATGTGCCGCGTCGGTGTGGACGCCCCATCGAATATTGCTCTGTCCAAGAAGTCTATCGTGGACTCAGTGTAAACAATCTGGAAGACTTGGCTGAGAAGTGAGCACAGCTCCTCGGCAGTTACCTGGGGAGGGAGCGAAGAAGGGCTGGTGGAAGGCGGAAGATACCAAGGTGGTCTTTCCTTTGAGCTCCCTACGGCGGGCACGCCGCACGGGACAGCGGGGTGCTGGATCTGTGAGGGTGTTGTCTCCCCAGCGAGGAGAGGGAACCCGCTCGTCCAAGATCCAGGACACCGCCCAATCCGCTGGGTCTCCAGGGCTGGCTGTGACAAACCTCAAATCTTGTCGTCACCTCCCGCCGTCCCCTGGGGTTTTCCTCGGTGCTAGAGGAGACGGACGATGGATCGTCCCTCATCACCCTCCCCCACTGCCGGAGAAGCGTCCCAGCCCTCTTCAACCCAAGCAATAGGAGATGGGATGCTCCGTCGTCAACTCACAGCTATTAATTAGCACCCAGATTTCACACTGATGCTCTGTCCTACTCTGAACTTCAGCTCCCTGGGATTTTGGCTACAAAAATCTACATCCCAAATAGGTGCAGCCAGCCCAGAGAGCATTAGAGCCGAAAACAAGGCGAGCAAAACTCCACCCCGAAGGCAAAGGGTTCCGGCTGTAGAAGTAGGAGCCCACAGGCCAAGATCAAAATCTCTGGATCCAGACACTGGATGAAACAAATTTCCAGGTCAGCAGCAGGAAAATGCCCCGGTTAGCAAAATCCTATTGTGGGAGAGATTCAGTTCTCGTCACAGATTTTCTGCTGGTGGAGAAAGCTCTGGGCAGCAGAGGGAAAACCATCCTCCGATATCCTCTTGTGTCCAAACCATGTCCCGAGGCTTCGGCAGGGACCAGGTTTCCTCCTCTACGCAGCACCTCGTGTGCCAGCAAAGCCCAACCCCACACCCTGCAGTCTTAAAACTGGGCCTGTGTGTGTCACACAACCTACGGCCAGGTAGGGAGCTGGTCACCGAACAGAGGGGACGCTTGATGAGAGCAGGATGAGGCCAGCCTGGGCTTCATGGTGCTCCACCGTCAACCTGAGGGGTTGCAGCCACCCCGATCTAAGGGCCAGAAAACCTCCCAGCAACCCCAGTCCCAGTGTCATCGCAATCGGAGAGTGACTCTGGAGGCAAACCCAACGTGCGATAGAGTTTGAATGGAGCGTTTTGAGTCTTACTTTGTTCTCCGTAGCCAGGACCACCAAGCAACAAGCTTCGAGGGGAACCACCCCGCTCTCGGACAGCGAGCCTGACGTAAGGGCTTTGGAGCTCTCGGCACAGAGACTCTGGCTGGGGGAGATCCCAGGGTCCTGAGCTGAGAAACAGAGAAATGGTGATGGAAAGGTGGGAGGCAGGGAGGGAACGGCAAGGCTCGCACGGCGAGCTGCCCTCCGAGCAGACTGCCTGTGGGGAGAGCGAAGCCCCCAAAGCAGGAGAGGGGAGGATGCCGTAGCCAGGAGAAAACACCCTGGAAGGCTCTCAGGAGCCCGGGAACCCCACCTGAACGTTGCGCAGGCCAAAGTCAATGAAAAGCTGATAATTTAGAGCTGGTTTCTGACAACTCTGTACATCGCCGGCTTCATTTCCATGGCTTAGTCAGCCTTGGGAAGCCATCAGCAGAATTACAGCCTGCCAACTCACTTACTCATTTATTCTATAGACTGCCCTTTGCTGTCACGGGGTTTATAATCCGCTAAGTCCCTGTCATTACATCTTCTAAGTAGCTCTGCCCAAACCCACGCAGGTTTGACACGCGCAGAGCTGCTGGGGACGGATTCCGGTCCTTCCCCAGGTATTACAAGAAGCGAGGTGGGTCAGAAGTGGTGGGTATCACCCCGGGTATTCAACACGGGCGTTTAGACGTCCAACATCGCGATGAAATCCTCCCAGGAACCCGCACGAGGGTTGCGAAGAGCAGGGCAGGTTTGACACACACGAGGACCAGGTGGGAGGAGCTGCCTCCACCTGCTCTCCTTGCTTTTCCTCCTCGCTGACGTCCCCAAAGGACCCACAGACCCGAGCAGGGTGGGAAATGCAGAATAAACAACCAGACTTTCCTGAGTCTAGTCCTCAGTAAATGGCAGCTCTCGGTTGGGGTTCGGCAGCTGCCGGAGGACAGGCTACGGGGGGAATTTCTAAGCTGTACGTGAGCTTACTCTTCATCTCCCCAAAAGTGCCTGCTCTTCTGCGAGTCACAGCGCCCTCAGGAGACGGCGTACCCCCAGTCCTTCCTCCACCCCCACTAGAAAAGGATGGACTGAAACAGCTCAAGGCAGGAGGCTCGATATAAAGAAGAAATTCTTTATGCTGAGGGTGGTGAAACACTGGAGTAGGTTGCCCAGAGAGGTAACAGATCACTGGAAAAATTCACAGTAAGGCTGGACAGGGCTCTGAGCAACCTGATCTGGTTGAAGACGTCCCTGCCCACGGCAGGTGGGACTAGATGACCTTGAAAGGTCCCTTCTAACCCAAACCCTTCTGTGAGTCTTTGCAGGACACAGATTGTTTTGGTCTGTTCTCACGCAGCGTCGCCTTTGTCCTGTTCCTGGTCGGGCCAGCTGTCGTCCTACACGAGGGCAATACTGGCTGCTGTGGGGCTCTACCCCGCAACCCCAAAACACACGGCAACCCCAAAACACACGGCAACCCCAAAACACAAGGCCACAGCCTGCCCGTGCTGGCCACAACCTACCTGTTTTCAGCACGACCAAGTGAGAGGAGTCATCTCGGATGTAGGAAACGGACGCGATGTCGTGGATGGGGACCCTGAGGAGGAGATCTTCTCCGTCCCTCCACACCAGCTTGATGTTGTAGGCAGAGAGACTGATGACAGCGTCATGTTCTTGGGTTAGCTGCCCCGGGAGCTGGTGTGCTCTCTAAAATAAGTGTATTTCCATTGATTTGCTGAATCATTTCCCCTTTGGTAACGGTTTGGTAACGGGTTTCCCTCCCATGTGTGTAACACCAGGGTGGAGGACGCCAGTTACACCAGCACCCCACCCCAAGGATGCCCCGCAAGCCTTGCCCCCC